TCTGTGGTGTGGGAACATTGGCATCTGGGGAGTGTGGACACTGTGATCTGGGTAGTGTGGACACTGGAATCTATGAAGTCTGGATATTTGGAAGTGGGGAGTTTGGACACTGTACTATTTTGGGTGTTAACATTGGGATATGGGGAGTGTGGAACCTGGGATCAGAGGAATGTGCACACTGGACCCTGGGTAGTGTGCACACTGGGAATTTTGTTGTGTGGACACTGGGATCTGGGGAGTGTGCACCCAGGGATCTGGGTAGTGTGGACCCTGTACTCAAAAGAGGGTGCACACTGCACTCTGGGTAGTGTGTACACTGATATCTGAGCAGTGTGGACACTGGGATATGTGGAGTGTGAAGACTGGATCTGGAGATTATGGAGACTACTTGGTGGGGTGTGGACACTGGCATCTGGGGAGTCTGAACACTTAACTCTGGGTTGTGTGGATAATGGTATCAGGAGAGTGAAGACACTGTGATTAGTGAGGATACTAAGATTTGGGGAATGAGTACACGGACTGTGGATACTGAAGCATTGGGAATGTGGACACTGGGGTCTTGGGAGGGTGGACATTGGGATCTGGGCAGTGTGGACACTGGAAACTATGGATTCTGGATACTGTGATGTGGGGAGTTTGGACACTGTATTCTTTGTAATTTTGACACTGGGATATGGGGAATGTGGATCCTGGGATCACTGGAGGGTGCACACTGGACCCTGGGTTGTGTGAACACTGGGATGTGGGAGGGCAGGCACTGGGATCTGTAGATGGTGGACACGAGGAACTGGAAGTGTGGACACTGGGATCTATGGCCTTTGGAAACTGGAATAGGGGGATTGTGCACATTGGGATCTGGGGAGTGTGGACACTGGGATCTGGAGAATGTGGACACTTGGAATTGGGTAATGTAGACACTGGGATCTTGGAAGTGTGAACACTAGGATCTTGGGATTGTGGACACTGGGATCTGGGCAGTGTGGACACTGGAATCTATGGATTCTGGATACTGGGATGTGGGGAGTTTGAACACTGTACTCTTTTGGGTGTTAACATTGGGATATGGGGAGTGTGGAACCTGGGATCAGAGGAGTGTGCACACTGAAATCTGGGTCATATGCACACTGGAAATTGGGTTATGTGGACACTGGGATTTGGGGAGTGTGCACCCAGGGATCTGGGTTGTGGACCCTGGGTTCAGGAGAGTGTGCACACTGGACTCTGGGTAGTGTGCACACTGGTATCTGAGCAGTGTGGACAGTGGGATACGGGGAGTGTGAGCATTGGATCTGGGGAGTATTGACACTGTGCTCGGTGGGGTGTAGACACTGGCATCTGGGGAGTCTGCACACTGCAATCTGGGTAGTGTGGGTAACGGTATCAGGGGAGTGAAGACACTGTGATTAGTGAGGACACTAAAATCTCGGGAATGTGGACACTGAAGGGTGGGGAGTGTGACACTGGGATCTTGGGAGGGTGGACACTGGGATTTGGGCAGTGTGGACACTGGAATCTATGGAGTCTGGATACTTGGATGTGGGGAGTTTGGACACTGTCTTCTTTGGAATGTTGACACTCAGATATGGGGAGTGTGGGTTTGGGGATCAGAGGAGGGTGCACACTGGACTCTAGGTCATGTGAACACTGGGATATGGGAGGGTGGGCACTGGGATCTGGAGAATGAGAACACAGAGATCTGGGAGTGTGGACACTGGGATCTGGGTACTGTAGACATTGGGATCTGGGCTGTGTGGACACTGGGATCTTGGGAATGTGGACACTGATATCTGGGGAGTGTGGACACTGGGATCTTGGGAATGTGGACACTGATATCTGGGGAGTGTGGATACTGGTATCTGGAAAGTGTGGACTGGGGGGATCAGAGCAGTGTGAACACTGTGATAGGGGGAGTATTAACTCTGGATGGGGGAAGTATGAAAACTGGGATCTTGGGAGTGAGGACATTGAGATCTGGGGAGTGTGGACACTGGAATCTATGGATTCTGGATACTGGGATGTGGGGAGTTTGGACACTGTACTACTCTTTGGATTGTTGACTCTGAAATATGGGGTGTGCGGAACCTGGGATTACAAGAATATGTGCACTGAACTCTAGGTAGTATGGACACTGGGATCTGGGTGGGTTGACATTGGGATCTGGGGAGATTGGACACTGTGATCTGGAGAGTGTGGACACGGAGTTCTGGGAGTGTGGACATTGGGATCTGGGTAGTGTGGACACTGTTTTCTGGGGAGTATGGACACTGGGCTCTGGAGAGTGTGGACACAGAGATCTGGGGAGTGTGGACACTGCTTCTGGGGAGTATAGACACTGGAATCTGGGGAGTGCGGACTCTAGGATCCAGGGAATGTGGACACTGGACTCTGGGGACTGTGAACAATATCTGGGAACTGTGGACACTGGGATCTCCCCAAACCTATATTAACCCTTTACTAACACCTTACCTAAGCCGTACTTGTTTCATACCCACTTTGAAGACCACCCCATAACACAGCCACAATCCTAACACATAATACAGAGATCTTCCTCGCATGTTCCCAAACTCTCAACCTAACTTTAACATGTATTTTAAGAGTAACCATTTTCCTAATAGTACTTTATCACATTAAACAAACTCTAGACATTAACACATATGGTAACAAATACCCTAAAACATACTCTACATACAGGTATGTACCCTAACATACTCTAACCCTGACCTTAACATATACCCTAACATGTACTCTAACAAGTACCCTGACATGTACTCTAAAAAACTGTAAGCCTAACACACTCCCAAACATGTACTCTAATACAAACGCTAAACATTTACATGTATCCTAACAAGTACTCTAACATATACTTCAAGTATTACATGTACCCTAAAGTGTGAACAAAACAGGTAACCTTACATATAGCCCAAATGTATAACAAGTACCTAAACATGTACTCTATAAGACATAACCTTAGACTGACCCATTCCATAATCCAAATGCTAATCCTTTCCATAACTCCTAACTTCACCAGATCCTTAACCCATTCACAAACCATAATCCATTATCTTTCTGTAACACTTAACCCAAACTCTAATTTAGCTGTTAATACAAACATGCTCTGTATGGCTAATGGAAAACCCAAAACCTGATCTAACCTATTTCTGAACCAGAAGTAAAAACTTAATTCTAACTCACACCCTGAGTAGCCCTAAAAGCACCCAAACTTAACCCTGCCTTTAATATCAATGACCCTACACCTATACCCAATTCCTCAACAACTCTTCCTTAAGCTTAGTCTTCCCATAGCTGTAGGGAGTTGGTCAGTTACTGGATGTGTTAGATACACACTTAATGTATGGATTTGAGTTAGCTCAGAGCTGAGGATAGAAGGCAGGGTTGGGGCCCAGAGTCATCAAAGTTGTTGTAACAAGTAACGACTTACAAACCAGGAAGAAGTAGCCTTCCCTTTATCACAATTGCCTTAACCCCCTCCCCCAAAGCACAGATGAATGCATGGTAGAGATGAGGATGGAGGCCTAAATAGGGCCTCAGTTTGCCAAAGCATACACTGAGTTGTAGACCGAAATTCTACATGCATAATTCAAAGTGTCCAGACTCTCCACATTTTCTCCTGACACTTAGTACATTTTGTCCTCACAGTGTCTACAGGCAGAGGCAGGCAACTGGCAACAAAGACCAGGCATCCAGGAGCTTTGTCACAGACAAATGGGACCTGGTATATCTGACAGGCTAGGTTATGCCTTCTGCTTCCCTCCAGAGATCCTTATTAGAATGTTGCTATAATTCCAGCTTATAGGAACTGATTGGCTTCTGAGGCATGAAATGGAGGGCTTAGTGTTGAGGTGTTGCCCTAGCCTGTGGAGAGCCCTGAACATAATACACTGGAATTCTCCAAAGCAAACTGAAATAACTTGGGAATACCTGATGTCTGTAAGATGCACATAATGAAAACATAAATATGTGTCACACATCCCCTCACCCCTTAGCCCCCATGCTATACAGGACATAGCCAAAAACTCGGTGGAGACTCAGAAATAAGAATACAGGCCTGGGATGGGCCTAGTGTGGCTAAAGCTGTTCTGACAGGTACCAAGGTACCAAGCAGGAATGCATAGGCTGCCCTTCCTCACACATATGTTCATTCCCTTCTCCAGGCTCTGGGATGAACACGACTGAAAGCACAAATGAAAACTTGCTATAGACATACAGATGAAGGTGAAGATCTAAGTAGGATGTGAGTCCATGCAAGCAAATTCAGGGAGGGGTGTCAGTCAAGCCTCTTCTACGCTGCACCATACACACAGATTCTACGCTCACAATTCCAAGTGTATGGACTATACACATTTTCTTCTAATACTCTGCACGTTTTGCTCCCAAAGTACTTAGTCAGAGGACATCAGCACACAACAAAGGGCAGGCATGTTAGAACTGCTCCACAGCTGTAGGATCCTGTATAGCTGACAGGCAAAGGACAAAACAGTCACACCAAAGCTCCTTTCTAGAAAACTGACATAATGCCAGTCTAAAGGAACTGACTGGGTTAAGAGACATAAAGGGGTGAGGCTCAGTGTTGAGGTACTTGCCTAGGTTGTGGGAAACCCTGAAGCACAATAGACTTTAACATAACCAAAAAATAATTTAAATACAAACATAACTGCTGGGCACAAGTGGCTCACACCTATAATCCTAGCTACCCAGGAGGCCAAGATCAGAGGATCATGGTTCAAAGCCAGCCCAGGCAGGAAAGTCTGTGACATCCTTATCTCCAATTGCCGCGGACCGGCTCTGTCGGGACAACGGAGGACACCTAGGGGAGGAACTGGAACAGGTGAGGAGATGGCAAACAGACACACACAAGAGGAGTGGACGCTGAGTGCGATTTAATGCAGAGGATAACAAGCTTTTATAGCAAAAGTCTCCATGAGAAAGGGCAAAAGGTTACACAATCTTGCTGCAGGGCTTCATTCTTGGGTGGTCACCAGCTGGTCGCCTGATAGGCACTTGTTTCTGGCTTTACCTCTATTTTTAAGAAATACAATGGGTTTCAATGTTTATCACCAATTAACCATTACTTTTTTCTATAGAGGCCTTAACTGTCCCATAAGATCTTTCCTGTTCCTTCTTTAATAGTAAGCACCAAGGAGGCCTAGATCTAGCAAGTCTTTTAGTAAATGAAAGAGAGTAACAGGAAGTTCTTTCTCCTAAGTAGTTTTCCCAGCAATTGCCATACACTCTTTCTGCTCTAGCCGCGCCTACAGCTTCTTGTAAATCTCTTACAAACAATTCCTTCTGCTGAAGTGACGTCATGAAACCCCCAATACTTTTATATTTACTTATGACTTGTCTACTAGCCTCCATAAGAGGGGCTTTCCGGGTAGCACTTAACTCTGGTGAGTTAGTCATATTTTTAAGACACTCATCAGATGTTGGAGTCGTCAACACTCTTAAGAAAGAGCCTTGAATAAGGGAACGTTGAGCATGAGTAAGTACAATGAGCAGCAGAAACAGTAAAAGATTAATAGGCACTCCTATACAGTGAAGAAAAGAAAAACAGGAACAGAAACACATCTTTCCCAGGGGCTTGCCAGCCTTTCCAGGAGGTAGGCCTCTTTGAAGCCCCATTCTCTGAGGTAGACTTCGGTGAAGTCCCATTCTCAGAGATAGGTCTCTGTGAAGCCCCATTCTCAGGTCTGAAAGCAGGTTTCCCATGCTAAGCAGACTCCACCGGAGTAGGCATGGCATCCAATGAACCCCCAGAATACTAGAATCGGCACTGTAGAGTGCTAGTACTGAGTGAAAGAGCTCAGAGACAGTGCCTAGGCCCTGAGTTCAAGCCCCAGGACTGACAATTACCAACTTTCTCCACACATCCCTCAGCCCCTAACCCCACAGGCACTGAAAAGCACATGACCAAAAGCAGAGCTGAAAGTGCAGTGAAGACTCCAAGGCTGGGGTAGGGGCCTAGGGTCACTGAAGTTGTTCTGATAGGCACAAACTTACCAAGCAGGAAGAGATAGGCTGCCTTCCTCACATGCCTTCACCCCCTTCTCTGGGCCTAGGACTGACATGAAAGTATAGATGAAAACTTGATGAATACTTGGAGAAAGACCTGGGCAAGGTATGAGTTCATGAGAGCAAGCGCTGATGAGGTCCATCCCACATGGGTCCATATACCATGAACCTATTACTCACGATTCCAGGCTCCCCACATTTTATCCTGACACTGTGTGTTTTCTTCTCAAAGTACCCACAGTGAGAGGAAAACAACATGCATCAAAGTCTGGATAAAAAGGGCCAGGGCTAAGAGCTGAAGTGCTTGCCTAGCTTGTGGGAGGCCATGGGACACAATACCTCTAGAACTAACCAAAAAGAACTATAATCCCTTTGTATGCATAATAAAATGTGTATCAAATCTGTATGATGAAAACAAAACTCCTTTTGTGCTAGTCCTGGGGCTTGAACTCAGAGCCTATTATTAGAGATGAAGAGCCTCAAGGACGTTTCTACCTGGGCTGGGTTCAAACTGCAATCCTCAGATCTTCACCTCCTGAGTAGCTAGGAAATCAAGCAGGAACCACTGAGACCTGGCAAACACATTTCTAAGACCCCTCACACCCTAATCCTCTATGTTCTCCAAAGCAAGATTTGTTGAGGTCCATGCAGCCCATGCTACATTAGGCCGTACACCCAGATCTGACACTCACCGTTCCAAGCTTCTGAACTCTTCCCATTTTCTCATTGCAGCACCTGAAGTCAAGGGCAGTCTCTGTAGAACAAAGGATTAGCATCCTGCGGCCTCTCCGCTGCTGAGTGGGATCTGGAGTGTGGCTGAGAAGAAAAAGAAAAAACCTCGACCACACTGCTCCCACCTTCTGCTACCCGACCCAGCTCCTAATGAGACAGATCTCAGGCCAGGCCTGAGGCAGTGATGGTTTACTCCTAATAACCCTGCCAGTGAGAGCTTCCCGCAGGCACAGAGAAAGATCACTAAGAAGTTTTATTAGTGAGTCTGCAACTGCCCCGTCCTGAGCTCTGTCAGAACCACGAGCCGCTGCAACCTACAAAGGGGGGGATTTTTGTTTTGTTTTTCCGCCCTCCATCCCACAGGTGTCACCTCTCTGCAGGCCCCTCAGCTCCCCACCAGCCTCTTCACCTCTCCCCTGGGCTCTCCGCCTCAGGAGACCCTCCAATGTCCCCAGGAGACCCTTGCCAGCCCTCAGCCAGGCCCCGCGGGCCTCAGGAGACCCCCCAACGTCCCCAGGAGACCCTCGCCAGCCCTCAGCCAAGGCCTGTGGGCCTCAGGAGACCCTCGCCAGCCCTCAGCCAGGCCCCGCCGGCCTCAGGAGACCCTCGCCAGCCCTCAGCCGGGCCCCGCCGGCCTCAGGAGACCCTCGCCGGCCCTCAGCCGGGCCCCGCCGGCCTCAGGAGACCCTCGCCGGCCCTCAGCCGAGCCCCGCGGGCCTCAGGAGACCCTCGCCGGCCCTCAGCCGGGCCCCGCGGGCCTCAGGAGACCCTCGCCGGCCCTCAGCCGAGCCCCGCGGGCCTCAGGATACCCTTGCCGGCCCTCCTCATACCCGGACCCCAAACCTCAGCTAGGATCACTCCTTACCCTTGCCTCACTTCCTTACCCTGCTGCCACTCACTCCCTTGCCCTAACCCGCCCCTCTGCTCTGCCCCCACAAACCCCACCCCTGCGCCGCTCACTTCCTGTTCTTGTCCCGCCCTTCTGCTCTGCCCCCACAAACCCCACCCCTGCGCCGCTCACTTCCTGTTCTTGTCCCGCCCCTCCTGTGCACTGCTCTTCCACAAGCCCGGCCCCTGCTCCGCTCACTTCCTCGCCCTGCCCCACCCCTGCTCCGCTCACTTCCTCGCCCTGGCCCACCCCTGCGCCGCTCGCTTCCTCGCCCTGCCCCACCCCTGCGCCGCTCACTTCCTCGCCCTGCCCCACCCCTGCTCCGCTCACTTCCTCGCCCTGCCCCACCCCTGCTCCGCTCACTTCCTCGCCCTGCCCCACCCCTGCTCCGCTCACTTCCTCGCCCTGCCCCACCCCTGCTCCGCTCGCTTCCTCGCCCTGGCCCACCCCTGCTCCGCTCGCTTCCTCGCCCTGGCCCACCCCTGCGCCGCTCACTTCCTCGCCCTGCCCCACCCCTGCTCCGCTCGCTTCCTCGCCCTGCCCCACCCCTGCGCCGCTCGCTTCCTCGCCCTGCCCCACCCCTGCTCCGCTCACTTCCTCGCCCTGGCCCACCCCTGCTCCCCTCACTTCCTCGCCCTGCCCCACCCCTGCGCCGCTCACTTCCTCGCCCTGGCCCACCCCTGCTCCCCTCACTTCCTCGCCCTGGCCCACCCCTGCTCCGCTCACTTCCTCGCCCTGCCCCACCCCTGCTCCGCTCACTTCCTCGCCCTGGCCCACCCCTGCGCCGCTCGCTTCCTCGCCCTGCCCCACCCCTGCGCCGCTCGCTTCCTCGCCCTGCCCCACCCCTGCTCCCCTCACTTCCTCGCCCTGGCCCACCCCTGCTCCGCTCACTTCCTCGCCCTGCCCCACCCCTGCTCCGCTCACTTCCTCGCCCTGGCCCACCCCTGCGCCGCTCGCTTCCTCGCCCTGCCGCACCCCTGCTCCGCTCACTTCCTCGCCCTGGCCCACCCCTGCTCCGCTCGCTTCCTCGCCCTGCCGCACCCCTGCGCCGCTCACTTCCTCGCCCTGCCCCACCCCTGCGCCGCTCACTTCCTCGCCCTGCCCCACCCCTGCGCCGCTCACTTCCTCGCCCTGCCCCACCCCTGCGCCGCTCACTTCCTCGCCCTGCCCCACCCCTGCTCTGCCCACTTCCTCGCCCTGGCCCCACCCCTGCTCCCCTCACTTCCTCGCCCTGCCCCACCCCTGCGCCGCTCACTTCCTCGCCCTGCCCCACCCCTGCTCTGCCCACTTCCTCGCCCTGGCCCACCCCTGCTCCGCTCGCTTCCTCGCCCTGCCCCACCCCTGCTCCGCTCGCTTCCTCGCCCTGGCCCACCCCTGCTCTGCCCACTTCCTCGCCCTGCCCCACCCCTGCGCCGCTCGCTTCCTCGCCCTGGCCCACCCCTGCTCCGCTCACTTCCTCGCCCTGCCCCACCCCTGCGCCGCTCGCTTCCTCGCCCTGGCCCACCCCTGCTCCGCTCACTTCCTCGCCCTGCCCCACCCCTGCGCCGCTCGCTTCCTCGCCCTGGCCCACCCCTGCTCCGCTCACTTCCTCGCCCTGCCCCACCCCTGCTCCGCTCACTTCCTCGCCCTGGCCCACCCCTGCTCCGCTCACTTCCTCGCCCTGGCCCACCCCTGCGCCGCTCACTTCCTCGCCCTGCCCCACCCCTGCGCCGCTCACTTCCTCGCCCTGCCCCACCCCTGCGCCGCTCACTTCCTCGCCTTGCCCCACCCCTGCTCCGCTCGCTTCCTCGCCTTGCCCCACCCCTCTGGTGTTGTCTTCCCCCACAAGTTGAGCCCCTGGACTGCTCATTTCTGACTCCTGTCCAGCTCCTCCTGTTCTGCTCTTTCATAAGCTCCGCCCCTGGGCCATTCACTTCTGAGTTCTTGGCCCACCCCTCCTGTGCTCTGCTCCTCCCACAAAACCAGTGGGTGCCGCGAGCACTGGCTCTCGCCAGAGAGAGCGCTAGGCCTGTGCAACAGCATCCTCAGGACCCAGGGTGAAGTGAGTGCTGCTTCCTGCCAGAGGGCGCTCTAGCCATGCATACCATGCTCCTCTCCTCAGGACCCTGGGTGCAGTGTCCACTGATTCCCACCAGAGGGTGTTCTAGGTATGTGTACCATCAACCTCAGGACCTGGGGTGCAGTGAAGGCTGCTTCCCACCAGAGGGCACGCTAGGCACACTAGGCACATGATCACTATGCTCCTATCCTCAGGATCCAGACTGCCATGAGTGCTGCTTCATGTCAGAGGGCCCTCTAGGCATGCACAATACTGCTTTCCTCAGGACCCGGGGTGCAGTGATCACTGATTCCCATCAGGGGGTGCTCTAGACATGTGCACCATTATCCTCAGGACCTGGGGTGCAGTGAGGGTTACTTCCCACCGGAGGGAAAACTAGGCACATGAGCACTATGCTCCTCTCCTCAGTATCCAGACTGCACTGAGTACTGCTTCTTGCCAAAAGGCCCTCTAGGTGTGCTTACTGTCCTACTCTCCTCAGGTCCCGGGGTGCAGTGACCACTGATTCCCACCAGATGGTGCTCTAGGTGTGCATACCATGCTCTTCTCAGGACACGGAGTGCAGTGACCACTGATTCCCACCAGATGGGGCTCTACCTGTGCACATCAACATCTGCTCAGGACCTGGAATGCAGTGACCACTGATTCCCAACAGATGGTGCTCTAGGTGGGTCCACCATGCTCCTCTACACAGGACTAGAGATGCAGTGACCACTGATTCTCACCAAATGGTGCTCTAGGTGTGTGCACCATGCTCCTCTTCTCAGGAGTAGAGATGCAGTGACCGCTGATTCCCACCAGGTGGTGCTCTAGGTGTGTGCACCATGCTCCTCAGGATGAGAGGGTGCAGTAACCATGGATTCCCACCAGATGGTGTTCTAGTTGTGTGCATCATGCTCCTCAGGACAAGAAGGTGCAGTGTCCACTGGTTCCCACCACATGGTGCTCTAGGTGTGTGCACCATGCTCTTCTCATGACCAGAGATGCAGTGACCACTGATTCCCAACAGATGGTTCTCTAGGTGTGCACACCATGCTCTTCTCAGGACCAGAGATGCAGTAGCCACTTTTTCTCAACAGATGGTACTCTAGGTGTGAATACTATCCTCCTCTATGCAGGACACTGGGTGAAGTGACCACTGATTTCCACCACATGGTGATCTAGATGTGCGCACCATGTTCCTCTTTTCAGGACTAGAGATAAAGTGACCACTGATTCCCACTAGATGGTTCTGTAGGTTTGTGCACCATGCTCCCCAGGACCAGAGGGTGCAGTGACCACTGATTCCCACCAGATGGTGCTCTCGGTGTGTGCACCATGCTCTTCTTCTCAGGACCAGAGATGCAGTGACCACAGAATCCCACCAGATGGTGCTCTAGGTTTGCACAAAATGCTCCTCTCCTCAGGACACAGGTTGGAGTGACCACTGATTCCCATCAAATGATGCTCCTGGTATACACACCATGTTCCTCAGAACCAAAGGGTGCAGTTACCACGGATTCCCACCAGATGGTCTTTTAGGTGGGCGGACTATGCTCCTCTTCTCAGGGCCCAAGATGCAGTGATCACTGATTCCCACCCAATGGTGCTCTAAGAGTACACTCCATGGACTGATTCCCACCAGATGGTGCTCTGGGTGTACGCACCATGCTCCTCTTCTCAAGAGCACAGATGCAGTAACCACTGATTCCTACCAGATGGTGCTCTAGGTGTGTCTACCATGCTCCTCAGGACCAGAGGGTGCAGTGACCACTAACTTCCACCAGATGGTGCTCTAGGAGTGTGCACAATATGCGTCTTTTCGGGACTAGAGATGCAGTGACAACTGAATCCCAACAGATAGTGCACCATGCTCCTCAGGACCAGAGGGTGCAGTGACCACTGATTTCCACCAGATGGTGCTCTAGGTTTGTGTACCATGTTCCTTAGGACCATAGATTGTAGTGACCACTGATTCATACCAGATGGTGCTCTACATGTGCATACTATTGTCCTCTCCTCAGGACACTGGGTGCAATGACCACTGATTCCCACTGGATGGTGATATAGATGTGCTCACAGTGCTCCTCTTCTCAGACCACAGATGCAGCGACCAAGGATTCCAACCAGATGGTGCTATAGGTGTGTTCAACATGCTCCTCAGGACCAGAGGGTGCAATGCCACTGATTCCCTACACATGGTGCTCTAGGTGTGGGCACCATGCTCCTCTTCTCAGAACGAGATGCAGTGACCACTGATTCCTACCAGATGGTGCTCTAGGTGTGTGCACCATACTCCTCAGGACAGAGATGCAGTGATCACTGATTCCCACCAGATAGTGCTCTAGGTGTGTGCACCATGCTCCTCAGGACCAGAGCGTGCAATGACCCCTGATTCCCACCAGATGGTGCTGTAGGTGTGCACACCATGCTCCTCTTCTCAGAACCAGAGATGCAGTGACCACTGATTCCTACCAGATGGTGCTCTAGGTGTGTGCACCATACTCCTCAGGACAGAGATGCAGTGATCACTGATTCCCACCAGGTGGTGATCTAGTTTTGTGCACCATGCTCCTTAGGACACTGGGTGCAATGACCACTGATTCCCACCAGATGGTGCTCTATGTGTGCGCACCGTGCTCCTCTTCTCAGGACAAAGATGTAGTGATCATTGATTCCCACCAGACAGTGCTGTAGGTGTGTGTACCATGTTCCTCAGGACCAGAGGGTACAATGACCACTGACTCCCACCAGATTATTCTCTAGGTGTGTGAAGTATGCTACTCAGAAACAGAGATGCAGTGACCACTGATTTCCGACCAGAGGGTGCTCCAAATGTGCACACCATACTCCTCTTCTGAGGAGCAGAGATGCAGTGACCACTGATTCCCACCAGATGATGCTCCATGTGTGTGCACCATGCTCCTCAGGTCCAAAGGGTACAGTGACCACTGATTCCCACCAGATGGTGCTCTAGA